TGGACACCCGAACTAGGAGATCAGTTTCTAGGTTTGCAAGATCGAAATCGAATATGAATCCCGACGATTCAAACGTTCTAGATTTTTTAGAAATCAACTTATCAATTTGAATATTCATAATCTCAAAGCCTAAAAAATCGAAGCTTCCTATGAATTCACTTTTTAAATTTTCTATCAAACAAAGATTATCTTTTCCTTCAAACAAGTTGAATTTATTTCAAAAATGGAAATGAACAAATGAAATTTCTATTTCTTTCCCATTTTTGACACTAAGTTTTCTCAATCTCAACACTAAAGAATAAACTAGAATTATCTCTAGATCTTCTGCGAACAAACTCATATTTAGAACCTGAGACCATTCCTAAAATTGAATTGGGGAGAGAGAGAGAGAGAGAGAGAGAGAGAGAGAGAGATTGATGGAATGGAAAAGGTGCTTCCATTTGGGAAGAAAAAGAAAAGAAATCTTTCTTTAGTTATATCGCCTAAATCTTACAGTAAATAATGATGATGGAATGGAAGTGTCCACCTACCTCCCACGAGAGAAAGAGCTTCGGTGTCGATGGTGGTGGTGGCCCGAACCTTCTCTCTCAGCTTGTTCTTATTGTTCTTTTTTTTTTTTTGTAACTCCTAAGTTCCCAACCAAACAACACTTCTCTTCTTTCATAATTATTATGACAAACAATTCAATTGTTGTTTTTTTATTTTTTGTACTGACTGGTCGACCAGCTGATTGATCGACCGATTGCCCACCCTGTAGTTTGATGAAAAGCCAAATCCCTCCGTTGGAACAAGCAATATCAAATAGAGGAATTCGTTCTTTTTTTACTCAAATTTAATAAAATATTTAGTGAACCGTTGAAGATACCCTTAAATAGCCCTAATGATCACAAGACAAAAGTTCAAAGAAGCTTTTCTGATTTCTAAACAACGATTTAACCAACATGATCCCCAAAACAAAATAATAATAATTAAAAAAAATTAAAAAAATCATAGTCTTTGACATTGTTCCACAATAGCTTCGACAGTGAAGAAGGGGACTGGCTTCCCTCCGGTCTGATCACGAACTGAAGGGTACTGTTGGGCCCATAGAGGCCCATCATGGGTCCCGTTTCGATAATCTGAACGTTCAATGTATAGAACTCGTTGAATACTATATATCTGTAAAAAATCATGCTGATCGAATATAAATAGCTACGTGATCAAATCAATTTTGTATAAAAAAATAGACGGTGAAAAAATAAATGGTTGATAAAAATCTGATTCGATGAGATAGCTATCAATATCCGATCAACGTAATTTTTATAGACATATAATACTTGATGAGTTTTGCACATTGAACGATTCAGATTATCGAAATGAAACCCGTGATGAGTCTTTATAAGCCTAATAATACTTTCTAACATGATCACGAACTGAAAAGAAGCCCACCCTGTAAAGAAAATCCCCTTGTTTTGAAGGAAAAGAAATAAGAAAAATGATTTGGACCTCTAAAAAAACACATCTAATGCACCTCTAATTTGTCTTTTTCTTCTCTTATTTTTGTCTTTTACTTCACTATTTTTTTTTTTTTTTTTATTCCCGGACAGCTCATTAGAGCTGTACGGACTAACCTCTAATTAGAGGTCTGTAGCAAGATTGAAGAAATAATTAAAATCACCAAGAAAACCATGTCCAATGGCTGATCTTTCAAACTTGTCAGACAGAGAAAAAGGTCAAATCATTGCCATTGTTAAAAAAATAAAAATTCTAAATTCTAACGTAACTCAAAATTCAAATAATTATAACATAACTCAAAATCTAAAATTCAAAATACAATTTACTTTCGAAATATCCAAAATCAAAAAAAAAAAAAAGATAGAGAAAACAAATTCAAAATTAACATAACTCAAAATTCAAACATAATTATGGCACAAATGTGAACACCTTTACTGAGGAAATTATCATTCATGAACAATCAGCTAGTGAATTACAGGTAGAATAAAGCAACCATCATCTTATGTGACTTTGCTGGATTTGAGAGAGGTGGGGTATCAGAATTTAGGAATATTTGGGAGATTTTGCAGATCAAAAAATAAAAATAAATAGTGTATATACAGAGTGGTCAATTTGATCTAGCCAATTGGTTAGCATCTTACCTCAGTGGATTCATGTGAATGGTTTTAAGTTGAGACTTGACCACCTCTATCCCAAAAAAAAAAATAATTGCGAAAATGGATGTGCTAGCTGTTTGTTTCTATCTGCTTAAGCCAGACAGACAACCCCACATGGTCTTCATGGAAGAACGACATTTCAATTCGTACCCACAGTACCCCAGATCCCATATCACCTGCTCTAAACATGAGAGAGAGAGAGAGAGAGGGGTTTCATATTAGAAACTAAAAATTACTTGGGTGAAATACAGGTTTAAAAAATAGCAATGCTACAGATTACTAATTTGCTACCATTAATTCCACCACTGATGATGTAGAAAAGGGCAAAAAAAAAAAAAAAACCAAGACGCACACACTGTATTTTAAGATTCACTGTCACATCATTAGTGATAGTACTAATTAGTGCTCTCAAGGATTTTCCTTTAGAAAAAGAGAAAAACCTTCCAGAATTGGACATGGCCTTGGATTCAGAAAGCTCCACATGTGTCTTATTTTGTCATAGACTCGTCATAGACACTATAATTCAACCAGAGAATGAGTTGTTTTGAAAAATTGATTAAAAGTTAACTTTGAATTTAAAAAAAAAAAAATGTATTCTCTATTTTAAAATATTAATTTTTAGTGTCCCAAATTATTAGTCCCTTTTCAAAAACGGTTTTGGTTGGTAGCTCGAAATTTAGTGGCCCTAATGGCCCTAAATTTCCATATAAGGCAAAAGAAAAAAAACAAGGCAGAAAAAAAAAAAGAAAAAAAAAACAGACTTATCCCAAAAAGGAAATTAGGGCCATTAGGGCCACTGTTTTTAGGGTCACAATTCATTTTCCTTTCAAAAATTAAGAAATAAAATAATATGAATTTATTATTTTGTCCGTCTTTCAAATTCATTAATAACATAAAAAGTATAATTATAGCAATTATATTCTCAAAAAAAATGTATTATCAAAGGATAATTTTTAAAAATTAACATTTTAAAAATGTAACAATTATATTATCAAAAAAATTAAATTCTTCAAAAAGAACTATTATTTTGAGACGGATGAAATATAAAAAAGTAAAAAAATGATGTAATTAAAAAAATTAAAAAACGAACTTTTAATCGGCTTGCCAAGCCAAAATAGGCCACAGAATGGCAAGGCTTCTAACTTCTAATCAAGCTACAGATTTTTCCCTATTTGGTGGTTTGGATTCCGGAATGATACTACAAATCTAGCATTCTAGTCCAACCCGTCATGACATCAGGCTCAAAAACTTCATCCCAAGTCGGGTTCTAAAAAAATATTACAACTAGCATATTATCCGTGCTATACACTAATTATTTTTATAATTATTTATTTACATAAATTACGATTTTTAAATGTCTTTTTTTTTTTTTTATATTATATTAAAGTTTAATATTTTGATAATAATCATGTGCTAAACAAATTTTTAAGAAATTAAATGTCTTTTTTTTATTATATTATATTAAAATTTAATATTTTGATAATAATCATATGTGTTGAACTTTTCAAAAATTTTTTTTATGCTTGTTCTTGATGTATTAAAATATTATTATGAGAGATAATAATTATATGTGTTGAAACTTTTCAAGGAATTCATATGTGTTGGATTTCAAATAATTTTTTTTTATGCTTGCTCTTAATGCATTAAAGTGTTATTATGATGGTAAGACTTGGGGATTGAGAGAAGTTAATAAATGCTAAGGTTTTTTTTTTTAAAAAAAATCAAAAAATCAAGAAATTTAAATTAGGAGATTAGAACTCCCACAAAACTTGAGGTTAAAAACCCCCTTATGCTTAATATATAGTATAGATCTGGATCCCGCCCGACAAAATAATAAATTTGATGAATAAATAAATGTCACAAAATTAAACATTAATGCACATTAATGGATTCCGGGTTCTCTAAAGACTAAGGGATTGTTTGGGATGATCTAAATAAGTGCACTTTTTGACTTTTTATGAAATATGAGTTGGGTTTGGATTGGATTTGAAGTGATATGTTAGAGAGGTGATGTGACTTAAATAAGATGATGTGACTTAAATAGGATAGTGACTTTTTGACTTTTTATCTTTTTTCAATCATGCCAAACTTGGCCTAAAGATAGCGATATTATATGTATCAATTAATATACTAACTAATGTACCAACATACTTTATGTCATTATTCCTGACTCCACCCATTATACAAATTATAAATATCTAAAACTTTTAAAATTATGTCACATCATCTATTAGTATACTAATTAGTATACCAATTAGTGCATATAGCATTATTTGAATAAAAATATGAGTGGTGCTACATGCACTAATTAATTTACTAACTAGTATACCAACACTAGTTATGACAGTATTATTGATCCCACTCATTATACAAATTACAAATACCAAAAATATCTTAAATTATGCCACACCATCAATCGGTACACTAATTAATACACTTATTGGTGCATATAACATTAGTCTAAAAATATAGATATATAAGAAACTTACGTGCAAGTCTTATAACAAGTAATGACATTTTTCATCAAACACTATTAAAAAAATTACTAATTGTTAATTTTTAACAATAGTTTTTGAAAATTTTGTCACTAATTATAAAACTTCTAGTCACCGTTTAAAAAAATTATCACAAAAAAAAAAAAATACTAATTTTTAGCTTTCAACAACAATTTAAAAAATTCGTCACAGAAAAACGTCACTAATTGTAAGTTTTAAGGACAATTTATATTGAAAAAAAAAAGTGACAAAAAAAAGTCACAAATTATTAATTTTAAGCGACATGCCAAAAACCATCACAAAAAATTATTAGCGATTATTTTATTATGACTTATTTTTAATAAGATTTGATAAATTAAGACAAACTATTAAGATTTATTGATAGTTTACACTAATTCTTCTTTTACGTGATTTCAAATTGGACAGCGCAATTGCAATAGCCCAGAAGTATAGACAACAATCCCGATCTAGTTTTAATAACCACCTCCCATTTAGCAGCTTTACTGTTTGATCTCTGGATTATAGAGAATACGTACCAGAAGCAAATTTTTTGGTAAGATTTTGACTGCCATGTCAAATGAGAACTACTTCCAGGGGCACCTTTGGCTAAGGGAGGAAATGTCAGAATTAAAGGTTGGCGGAATGGCAGGAAGTTCTTCACATCCTTGCCAGACACACAAACACAGCTGTGTGACAACAACACAAAGTATATAATGGAAAATGTAACAGGCATGAACTGCGAGTGTAATTGAGCAGACCAAGAGAAACAGTGGAGGACTAAAGGCACCTTTAAGAGAAGTTAGCCTCCAGATTGTTCCAAAATGCATAGAGCATCTGCATCACACAATATCCCTTTATTCAAGGTGATGAGAGTTCAAAGAAGAAAATCATATGCAAAGTGCAAACTCAAGTCTGGAATCAAGCACTTCGGATAAATGGAAAGAGTTGGTAGATTACCATTTGGTGTCATCTCTTCCCGAGGCTGCTGCTTTCACTGTCTTTACTGGAAGCCAGTGCTGGAACAATATGATCAGAACAGCACATGCTTCATCTCCAATTCATCTCAAACTTCTTATAGAATCATCAGCATACCTCTTATGCTTGAGAAAGATTGGCCCTCTCTGTTTTCCACACAAATACAAGGACATTTATTGTCCAAGAATGTGATGATTAGCTGACATATATTACTCCCTTCTAAATTACTTCAAAGTCCATGGGAATGTAAAAGAAAAAAGGGTCCACGTCATTTTCTCAATAGATTGATCAGCAAGCCTGCAGTTTTTAAACATAAAAACATGTGGTCTATCTTTTCAATGCGATACTGTTTACCCAAAGGAAAATAAAATAACCAATCACTCTTTCACACCCATTGAAAGAAACACTTCCTTTTCCTTGCACAGAAAAACTAACTCCCGTTTTGGACCCCCACGTCTTTTGAATGAATAAACATCCTCAGACAAGCACTCCATACCAATGTAAACCCTCATTGAAAAAGAATTTGCTTTTGGAGTTTTGTAGAAGGGTGCAACGAATGTGAATTTCCTGATTTGGTTGCTGCCTCCAAATCGTTCCAAATCCAAGAAAACAAATTCAGTTAAAGTCTCATCCACAGCCAGTTGCAGCCACAACCTATTCTCCCTCGAGATATTATACAAAGTGATCTCTAATGGTATACCAACAGGAAGCCCTGAAATGAAGTGAAAAGGATTTTCAAAGTCATTATCATGAACGTCCAATTCTGCAATTATGTGCTTGAGTTTTCCACAGAAGACAAACTGCTTCAAGGAGAAAAATTCAACTAACTTCTGAATCAGAAATGGGGTGTAGAAAGGTCCATCAGTAGAGAAACCAATCTCGTCCAATGATTTCTTGAGTTCAGTCACGAAATTGGAAGGTTGAATGGATAATTCCTCATGGAGAAATTCTACCCGTGACAATGTAGAATGCAGATTCTTCAAAGTTGTAAAATCATAGTAGACTTCAACACTGGACAACCTTAGTATAAAATTCAGTAATATCAGCTCCAAGACATGCAACTCCTCTTCTTTACTCAACCCTATGAACCTATACCTCATTTCTCTAAGGGTTGTGTCTAGTTTTCCCAATAAGAGACCCACCTCTCCCATTCCATAAAGGCAGACTTTTCTTGGGGAGATAAAGCGCAGCCATATCTTTGCCATCAGTTTCACAACCCTTAAATATTGCAACATAAAAGCTATTGAACCGGGAGATGACCCAGTAGTGAGTGTTGCCAACACATTCTTCCAACTCCTGCAAGCTGCCATTATTTGGCACACCATCTTCAAGAGGTAAGAATGGTTCCTTCTTTTTGAAGTCAAACTCTGCAGCAGAAATAACTATGGAACTACTACAATGAGACAAATAAGCCAACAGGGTATTCTGGTCCATGACATCACTCAAAGCATGAGAAATCCTCCCTAGCAGTGTGACAGCATAAGAAAATATTCTCTGTGGAGTACTGCAAGTGCGCTGTTCATTTGAAAGTGGAGCTGAGATGGCCAGCACTAGCAGTGCAGCTACTCTCCTACTATCAAACCCCAACTTGCCACCAAAGGAAGGCTCAATCTGAAGTATATCCAAAAGTAGACCAGAAAAATCATGTCAATTGATCTGATGAGAACTAGTGTCATAATCTGATACAAAAGGGGACACACACACACATACATAAGGTCTTGGATTTTCCCTTGTAATTCAAACAGACAATACAAGCTCTGATATCGAGTTTTGCACATAAAAACACGAATAGAACCTCACTCCTAGACCCATGTGCGCTCACAAATTATTTGGATTATTTTAAGTTGAATACACCTGTTAGCCCAGCCTCATCTCTAAGAAACCAACAACAATATGATTAAAATCTTTTGTCTGAGCATGTAATTAGGTGTTAAATCAAATATCAAGGAGCAATTACACCTACGTATAGAAAAGCTTTCGTATTTAATGATGACCCATGGATGACATCCTTTTGAAAATTTAGCTGGATCCCTACTAGGTGGATGTAAGATGAACACCAGATAAATAGACCCATTGAATGAATTGAAGCCCATTGACATAAACAACATTGGTGCTATTAGTAAATGAAAGAATGCATGTTCATTATAAAAAAATATAAATAAATAAAAAAAAGGAATAAGAAGAAGAAAGAACCAGTATTCATCTATCAAACTAGTAGATCCAGCCATAGCATCTATCGTCATACTAACCTCGTCCGAAACCCTCTCAGTAATGTCAACTGCAAAATTCCCATGACATCGACCAATATTAAATATAACAGAAAATACATCAGCTTCATCCTGACATGTTCAAAGAAAGGAACCAAACTTTACAAATTAGGAAAAGACAATAAGATAAAATGAGTACAGCTAAAAATGGAAAATTTGTACTCCGTATAATTCTGTATAGCAAGAAAAAATAAAGGCAAAGAACACAAACCTGTGGATACATTTCCAAATTTTCTAGAAGGCCATCAACGGATAATTTAAACATAGCTATATCATTCAGCTTTATTACTCGAAGTACGTTCCTTGCTGCAGATCTTACCAAAGCACTAGAGTCAACTAGAGTGCTAAGAAACTGCAAAACAAAACAACGATACAATACTAGAAAATATGTACGACAATCTCATAGTCCAAGGAACAAATGCACAGAATAGTACAATTCCATGTGTATGTTTCAAAATTTAAGTGGGTAAATATTATTGCAAAGAAAATTAGTTAAAGGATAAGTATATACTTGAGAAAGGTCAAATTAAACCAGGGGACAGATGCTCAGTAATCATTTTGACCTCGCGTGTCAGAGGAAACAAACTGTACGAACTACAAGAAGTCATTGTGTTAAGTGTTTGGACAACTGAAGGAACAAGTTTAAAGCAGCACCCAAACATAACACATAGAGTGAACCCATTAAACATTTCCACAACCTGTGAATTTGATATCCAATTGGTTGGCTTTAAGAAGGATCAAATATTTACCATATGCATGTGTGTTTCTTGCACCTTTAGATGATCAAATAGTGCCATACAACGCATGGTTTCCAAAGCCTGTAACCGGACAACCATTGAATCATCATTCAGCACGTCCACCAATAAAGTTAAGGCTTCACCAGAAAAATCAGCAGACAATATGCTGAGTGTCTGAATGGCATGACAGGCTGACCTTCGTACCTACAGAATAAACAGACAGTCTCAATCGTAAAAATTTGAAAACCTACACCAAATTGCCTCTGAACAGCAGTAATTATCTATTAACGACATCAAACAAGACTATTTAAAAACAGATCCAAATGTCAGATTTGTGATGGTGATCATGGGAGACAACATATAAAACCAATGCCACAGTCTACTTGGAGTGCACATTGGAATAATTGAGTTGTCCATCAATTAAAATCAGTACATGAAGTTCAAACTAATCAAAGACTAGATATCATATCACCTTCTTAAAATGACATAAGATTCAAAGTCTCAAACTGAACAACAAAATTATGAAACTCGCCTCACAGAATTCATCCTCCAGCCCATGCAAAATGGCTCCAGCAGCGCTTGATGCTGGTATATCAAATGGTTTTCCAGAGCACAGCCCAGGATAGGTCTTTCCTTTAATGCCAGAATGCACCTTCTTTGATAGGGTTTGTAATAGAATATCCTCCGACACCATACCTATCTCCCCAAGGGCATCAAAAGCTTCAACTCTGACCTTCACATTCATGTCTCTTACCATAGAACAGAGCTGCAAACATATATGACAGAGATATCAGGGCAACAATTTTACACAATGATTAATGATGCTACATTGCAACAAGATAAAAGAACGAGGACATCCTACCATGTTCTTGATACAGGATGATATCAGTCACCTTGTTTGGTTTTGTTTTCAAAATATGTCTTCTGTTTTTGTTTTTATTTTTATTTTTATTAAGTAAAAGCTAGATTGGTGAAAAAAAAATGAAAAATCTCAAAAGCACTCATCATTTTGATATGATTCTCTCTTTTTTATAAGACAAAAGTAATTTTTGAAAATTTTAAAAATGTAAATTTGTAGTGTTTATTTCCGTCAAACTAATTTATATTTTTCCCAAAAATTTCAGAAACCAGATAACCAAACAGGGTCCTTGAAGATTTACTAGACAAAACTTGGCCAATTAAATTAGCAAAGCTATCCAATATTTCACAAATCTGATGACATATAACAAAAACTCAGAGAGAGAGAGAGAGAGAGAGAGAGAGAGAGGGAGAGAGAGGGAGAGAGAGAGAGTACATAAACCAAACCAAACCAAGCCTTAAGTCCCATCAAATGGGGTCGGCTACATGAATCATTCTTCTTCACGCGGCTCTATCAAAGGCTATTTCATTAGTCAAATTAAGTAGATTCATATCTCTATTTATAACGCTAGTCAACGTTAATTTAGGCCTACCCCATCCTCTAACACTTCCATCTACCGTTATAGCATTGCATCTCTTCACTACTGCCTCTGCTGGTTTCCGTTGAATATGACCAAACCATCTCAAACGATTCTCTCTCAACTTATCTTCTATCGGTGCTACTCCTATCCATTCCCGAATATACTCATTCCTAATCTTGTCCTGTCTAGTCTTACCACACATCCACCTTAGCATCCTCATTTCAGCCACACTCATCTTATCTACATGTTGTTTCTTGGTTGCCCAACACTCCGTCCCATACAACATAGCTGGTTTAATAGCCGTTCTATAAAACTTACCTTTTAGTCTAGTGGGTATTCGTTTATCGCACAATACCCCAGACGCACTTCTCCACTTACACCATCCCGCCTTAATCCTATGGGCCACATCTGCATCAATCTCTCCCGTTGTTGTGATAATCAACCCTAAATAACGAAAATGTTCACTCTTAGGCAGTTATTGGTTCTCAATCTTCACTTTTCCTCTGCTTTCATTGTTATTGTTACTAAATTTACACTCCATGTACCCTCTCCCACACTTTCATTATATGACACATTAGCTTGATTCCTCTATAGTTGTTACAATTCTGAACATCACCTTTATTCTTATAGATTGGCACTAAAATACTCTTCCTCCACTCATCTCACATGTTCCTAGTCAACAAAATTTTGCTAAACAACCTAGTCAACCAAGCAACTCCCTTTTTACCCAAACAATTCCAAGCTTCAATGGGGATATCATCAGGTCCTAAAACCTTATTTGATTTCATCTTTTTAAGTGCAATCTCCACTTCAAATTTCCTAATCCTGCGATAGAACCTATAGTCTTGATTTATCGTATTACTAGCTATTTTTTCCCCTATTGTCGTACTTCCATGTTCCTCATTTAACAGTTTCTCAAAATAATTCTTCCATCTTTCCTTAATCTCATCATCATTCACCAATACCTTAGAATCCTCACTCTTGATGCACTTTACTTGATTAAAATCTCTTGTTTTCCTCTCCAGTATCTTAGCAAGTTTGTATACCCTCTTCTCTCCTTCCTTACTATCTAGTCTAGTGTATAGGTCATCATAAGCTTTTAACTTAGTCTCTCTCACTACTTTCTTGACCTCCTTATTAGCCAATCTATAGCTCTTAAGGTTTTCCTCAGTTCTATCATTCTGCCACTTTTTAAAACACTCTTTTTTTGCCTTAACTACCGCTTGAACCTCTTCCCTCCACCACCAAGTTTCCCTAGAGCTGGGTCCCGTTCCTTTCGACTCTCCAAGCACTTCCATTGAGATTCTCCTCATACAATTGGCCATCGAATTCCACATAGTGTTAGCATCACCTTCTAAATCCCAAGTACCTTCCTTATCCATTCGATTCTTAAATATTTCTAGTTTATCCCCTTTTAGGTCCCACCATCTCGTCCTACGACGCCCACTATCCTTCCTAGCTTGGTATTGCCCTCTAAAACATAAATCTAGTACCAAAATCTTATGTTGAGAGACCAGACTCTCCCCAGGAATCACCTTACAATCATTGCATTTTAGGCAGTCCACTTTTCTCACTAAGAAGTAATCTATTTGGCTCTTAACTAATCTACTCTTAAAGGTTATCAAATGCTCATCCCTCTTCTTATACATAGTATTGGCCACCACCAGGCCAGAAGCCAACGCAAAATCTAAGATTCTCTCTCTAGCCTCATTTCGGTCACCAAAACCGTATCCACCATGCGCCCTTTCATAACCTAGTTTATCTATACCCACATGGCCATTAAAATCTCCACCTATAGCCAGGTTCTCTCCTACGGGTATCTCCTGTAAGATCTCATCCATTTGCTCCCAAAAATCCCTCTTAGTCTGATCATCTAACCCTACTTGAGGGGCGTAAGCGCTAATAATGTTCAATATATTCCCTCTAATAACTAGTTTAACTAGCATAATCCTATCTCCTTTCCTAATGACCGCCACCACACTTTCCACAAGACCCTTGACAATTATGATTCCTACCCCATTCCTGCGTCTATCCTTACCACTATAATAAAGTTTAAAACCAGTATTCTCAATTTCCCTAGCTTTTTCTCCCGTCCACTTAGTTTCTTGTATGCAAGCTATACTAACTCTCCTCCTAATCATAACATTTACCAATTCCATCGTCCTACCAGTTAAGGTTCCTATGTTCCAAGTGACTACCCTAAACCTATAGTCTTGGACTAGCTTTTTTACCCGCGTTCGTCCAGAAAAACGCAAAAACCTTTGCCCATTTTTCACCGCACCCAGGCGTCGATGCGGCGCCTCTTGCTCACCTTTCAAAACACTCGGAGGCAGGCACAACGCGTCACTTGAGGGGAACGACCTACCATTTAAACGATTCAAAGTAGGATTCATTTTCATAAGGGATCCGAGCGGCTTTTTTACGTGTTAGTTGTCGGCTACCTAACACACAATCCTCCTCCTTAACCCGGGCTTGGGACCGGCAGAGTTGTTAACAACCCCGGCGGAGTTAGAGAGAGAGAGTACATGAGAAGTTTAAAATTAGATCCATAGGATATTGGAACCAGATGCAAGATTTCACCCTACAGGGTATTTTTATATGAGAATCATGGACAGTTCTTTCCAGTCACCCTGACAAGATACAAAATATGCATCCAGTTTTAGCACAGACAAATCATGCATAGAATGTATGAACCTCATGCCCATATATCCTCTATTGAACAATCTATACCAATATGTTACAAATAAATTTAACAACAAAAGCCTCAGAAATCAACGACAGCGTTATTAATACATCCAAAAAAAAACTATTTTCACAAATTGATTTCACAAAATGAAATTTCACCTATGTTCTCATACCTAATTAACATAGTACTTTAAATAATACCTGGATAAATAATGCATTTGACAAATCTCTCTTATTATCGTCATGGTTCAATGCCACAAGTAATTGTCCCCACTGAGCAACCTGTACACAACATGAACTAAGCCCATTAAAATCCTATTGTCCATATATCTCAGATTGATTGATGTTAAAGCCACCATCCTAAACTTTTAGGGATCTAATAATTAAGAAGGTAAGCAGAAGTGAAGTTACCAGCTGGGCATAGAAAGTACTATAAATGTAAAAAAAAGTTAACCACTTTACTACGTAGAACATATCAATGAACCTTGGATTTATAGAGTGGAAAGAAAATAAAACAGAAATGAAATTACTAATCAGCTTAGCATAGTAAAAAAAAATGCTAACCACTTTACTACATAGAATGTAGCAGTGAACCTTGGATTTGTTAAGGAAAAGAAAATGAAAGATAGAATATTCATTTTTTATGGGGTAATCAAACAAAAGATTATTTTTTTTCATTTTTGCAAATTCTATTATTCATTTTCTTCTCATTTTCCTAACCCAACCAAACAGGAGAAACCTTCACTTCATTTTGTTTTCCCATCTTTTTCCTTTTACTTTTACTTTTCCCTCTCCACTAATCTGAGACCCAAATACAGCAAAAAAAAGTCACTTAAAAGACCCCCTATATTGATAGCTCAAGCAAAAAGCTTATCAACACCAAATTCAAAAGTAAACTTTGAGCGAAAATAGCACTGATCGTGAACAAAGATTCGAACAAAAACCATTACATTTGCTGCAAATCAAATACAAAAGCTATAAAAACAGGTGTTACGGGATTGTAATTCACTGCCAACCCCAAAAGAGTTCATTTCATATGCATCTAATAAGATTTATTACACCAAACATGTGTTCTAAACCACATTTTACCATAGCATGAGCACAATAGAGATTGCATTATCTCTAAATTTCCTTCCCTACAAACAGAATTAGCCAGACAAAAAATAAAAAAAAAAAAAAAAATGGACAAAAAAAAAAAAAAAAAAAAAAATGGACAATTCAAGCAAACAATGGCAAAAAACAAAGAACATACCGCACGAACAGCTGAAGATCTTACACAATCCTCCATATCGCTCAGAAGCTCAACACCACGGCAATAGCAACTCTCAACCAGAGTACAATCCTCAACAACAATGGACTTGCACAGACCAAACAGTCCATCCAAAGCAACTTTCCTCACATACGGATACGGATCCTTCGTAAACCCTAAAAACACAGTCAGCAACAAAGGCGGCCGAATCCAAAACCTCTCCGCATTCAACAACAACCAATGCCGAACAGACACACTCGGGAAAAAACAGAGTTTGAGAAATAGACTCTCGCTAAGCTCACTGAGGTCAGAAGCTAGGGTTTGGTTTGATTCAGCGATTGAGGCGAGAACGGAGAGAGAAGCGGCGAGGGTGCGAGTTGAGGTAGGGTTGCAGAGGAGAGAAAATGAGTGGACAGTTTGAAAGATGGACTGAGAAAGGTGGCGGCGGTGGGCGGCGAGGTCGGAGAGGAGAGAGAGAGTGTGGCGGAGAGAGAGAGGGTCGCGGTCTGGTTGGAGAGAGAGTGATAGGGTTTGGAGGAGAGAAGAGATGGTGGAGTCGGAGGTGGAAGGGTTGAGGATGAGAGATCGAGCGAGAGATAGGGCTTGCAGAGAAGTGGAGGCGTCTGTGGGTTCGTTGAGAATTTGCTCGAATTTGGCGCCAAGTTGTTGCTCCATTGATGGAGTTGGCGTGTGCTGTGAAGTTGTCTGAAGCAATCCAAGACGATGGGGACGAATTCGGTTGTGACTGACGCACCCTCAATCACCAACCCCCGCCACCCCCTCACGTGACGGGTGGTGGTAGTTGAAAAAATAAATAAATAAATAAATAAATAAAATTAATTAAGAAAGAGAGGGGTCAAAGGCGTGAAAAAAAAGAGGGTCTTAATCATTTTTCGGAATGAATTTTGGGGAACAGTTCCGCTACAGACCCTAGTGAAACATGACCCCCAGGACCCTAATGAGTTGGCAGTTGAGGTGGAAGAAGGATGTGTACATGCACGCAGTGTGAGAAAAATAAATAAATAAAAGAAAAATAAAAGATTGATAGAGCGGGAGCCTAAACCCAATATTATCATTCCTCGTCTGTCCACACTATTGCCACTATAGCTCTCTGTCATCCTCCTCATCCACTATAGCTCTTCGCCGTCGACAACGGCCATTGTAATCGCAAAGCAAACCACTAAAGCTAGTATTATCCCAACCTACAAATCTATCGGTATTCAATTTTGTCCACCCAAACTCTGGCTTTTCCTATGTACACAATCCAAATGATCTTGCGTGTGAGGTAGATGTAATCTTTGGCTGCATCTCTGTCTATCATTGTCCTCAATCTTTGGCTGCATGTCTGTGTCTCGCTCTCCGTCCCTGTCTCTGTCTCGCGCGTACTGTGGATCGGTAGTTTATGAGGTAAACTTTTCTCCCAGCTCTCCAAATAAGAAATCAGTAGTAGTAGTTAAACAAAACATAACTTCCTATAGCAGTTTATGAGGTAAAAAATCAGTTTCATTAACTTTCTATAAGATTTCTCTAAAAAATCAGTTCCATATATGACTATGGAACTATTTTTGGACTTTCAAAGTCTTAGCACTTCATTTGATAGATCTTTATTAATTCTTCACATACTTTCAGTGGGTTAAAGGTTAATATATTCTTCAATTAATTCAATTTTTTATGTTCTCATGTCAAGAAACTTCCTCAAATTCTGTATAATGGATCTATATGACTATCCCCAACCCCAGTGACTCAATTGGACATTCCCTAAAAATCAATTTGAACAAATATTATGTGATAAAGGGTTGGGGATAGTCACATAATCTCAAATTTGAATATGGTCACTTAGGGTTGGGGATAGTCACATAATCTCAATTTGCTGATATTTGTTCGTACACTTTGGGGATAGTCACATAATATTTGTTCAAATTAGTTCCATTTTTTAATGTTTGTTCAAATTAGTATTTGTCCTCAATTTGGGCATTATGTTAGGGAACTGATTCATTGTGTTTTGTTTGGGCATTGTGTTATATAATCATTCTGAAATCATTTAATTGTTATTTCATTCTGCAAAGTGGAAGAATGGAGGTTGATTCAAATGTTGGTGACAATCCTTCAATAAATGAGGGTGAAGAAGTTGAAGAACCTAAAAAGAGTGTGTGTTTTAGCTCAAGGGAAGAAATGTACACATTTTATGGCAAATATGCTAAGCATGTTGGTTTTTTTATAGCTCATAGAGCACAACATTTTGGAGATGATGGGCAATTAAAAAACTTTGCAATTGAATGTTCTCGAGAGGGGAAGAGAAAAAAGAAATCAGAAGTCAACCCTTTAAAGCCATCTTTGTCCACAAAAATTGGTTGCAAAGCAAGGGTACAAGGTAGTGTACAAAAGGATGGGAGATAGAAACTAACCACAGTTAACTTTGAGCATAATCATGATTTGATTCCCACCGACTCATGTCATTTTGCAATGAATAAGAAAATTCTTACTCCTGTAAAGAGAAAATTAGAAATTAATGATCAAGCAAGGATTGGGGTATCTAGCAACTTTCATTCAATGGTTGTTGAAGCAGGGGGATATGAGTCTTTAACATTTGATGAGCGAGATGCAAGGAATTACATTGAGAGAGCTAGAAAATTGAGGCTTGGGGAAGGTGATGTCAAATCACTTCAAAGTTATTTTATGAAGATGCAAGCACATAGTGAGAGATTCTTTTATATAATTGATGTTAATGAGGAGTTTCGTATTAGAAACTTGTTTTGGGCTGATGCAAGGAGTCGGGTGACTTATGAAGCATTTGGAGATGTTGTTTCATTTGACACAACTTATCTGACGAACAAATATGACATGCCATTTGCTCTATTTATAGGAGTTAATTATCATGGACAGTCAATTTTGCTTGGTTGTGGATTGTTACCTAGTGAAAGCAATGACACATTTGTTTGGCTATTCAAGTCATGGTTAAGTTGCATGTCAAATCATCCTCCAAAAGCTATCATAACTAATCAGTGCAGAGCTATGCAAAATTCTATAAAAATTGTCTTTCCATAAGCTCGACATTGATGGTGCTTATGGCATATCATGAAGAAAATTCCAGAGAAATTGAAAGGATATGCTCAATATGAAGCCATAAAGTTGGCTATGCAAAATGCAGTTTATGACTGTTTGACAAGAGTTGAATTTGAGAATAAATAGGAAGAGATGCTTGCAACATTCAATCTTTATGATAATGAGTGGTTAAGGGTACTATATGATGAGCGGCATCGATGGGTACCTGTCTATGTTAAAGACATTTTTTGGCCTGGTATGTCAACTACACAATGAAGTGAAAGTATGAATGGATTTTTGATGGATATGTAAACCCAAAGACTACATTGAAGCAATTTGTTGAACAATATGACAATGCCTTGAGAAGTGAGGCAGAGAAAGAGAAGAAAGCAGACTTCAAGTCTTGACACAAATTGTTTGATTACCTAACTATATATGGTTTTGAGAAGCCATTTTAGCAAGCCTACACCAATGCAAAATTCAAAGAAGTTCAAGGAGAGTTGAAAAGATTAGTTTACTGTCAGCTGTTGTTTCTGAAAGAGAATGGGTCCATTTCTACATATAATGTCCAAGAAGCAATGGTAGTTTGTGAGAAGATGAAGCATGTGGAGTTTGTTGTCTATTTTAATTCAATTGAATGTGAAGTTCAATGTATGTGTTGGTTGTTTGAGTTTAGAGGCATTATGTGTGCTCACTCACTCGCTATGCTTGTGAGAAGATACACAAATAAGGTGCCAACTAAATACATTCTGCCACGTTGGAGAAAATATTTGGATAGAGAGTACGCATGTATCAAAACCACATATACTGGCTTTGGAAATGATTTCAATGCAAGTTGATATGGGAAGATGAACAAAAAATTGATTGCCATTGTACAACTTGTTGATAACTCTGAAGGCAAAACTAAAATTATAGATTTTGGGTTGGATGAAATTAAGGAGAGAGTCGTGAAAGAAGAATCAGGTGATGAGAGTAATTTATCATGTTCCAGAAAAAGTCCGATTCGCATTGGTTCTACACAATGAGCTACTAGGAAGAAGGTGATTAGTCCTTTGGTTACTCGGCGAAGAGGCCGTCCAGTTACCCAATGAAAGGTTGCCAAAGTGGATCAAATAGTGAATTGGTTGAAGGCAATGGCAAAAAAACAAACAAAAGTAAATGTAAATTCTGCATAATTTTTTTTTTTTTTTACAAATTGTATTCAAGTATGTAAAAGCAATTCATAAATTTCAATCTTGTTTCATTCTTGAACAAATACAGGCTACTAAGGTGCTTCAATTTGGAGCTAAAGCTGAAGCTCAATCTCATGCTACAACAACAACATATACACTGTATTATCCTTATATTATTGACATGCAAAATAGTATGTATGTACCGGTACGTGTTCGAAAGAGAAATTCACATCAATTGTTTGTTTTCACAAATTTTGTTCTTCTAACATGTACTTTTAATTGAATTATCATAGGTGGTCGATGGTATTGGAGGCACATCTCTTACTTAATCGGACTTTATAAGAGGCACACCGGGAAGTTCGATGAGTGTTCCAACTCAGATTTATAGTTCTACATCTCTAACACCATCGACTTCTAATGCATGCACATCGGGAAGCTTGTATATTAGGGACATGTTTGACGAACTTGTTAAAGTTGAACAGTTTATTTTTTAGATTGCATCTTATTATGTTCCTACTTTGGATTTGTAAAACATGTTGTCTATTAATTATCAATGAAGATGTGTTATTATTATTATTTGTTATGTAATGACCTTAGCAATATTTACTACTATTGTATAGTGATTGTGAACAACTATTGTTGAAAAAATATTTATTTACTAATATTGAACAAAGCGTATTTAACAATTTCTCTGTATTAAACAATGTGCATTCGATGTGTATTCAATGTGTATTCAATGCGTATTCAATAGTTTCTCTATATTTAACAATGTCTATTCAATAGATTCCTTGTATTCAACCATGTGTATTCAACATTTTCCCTGTATTCAACAATGTATATTCAACATTTTCCTTGTATTCAATAATGCATATTCAATAGTTTCCCTGTATTTAACCATGTGTATTCAACATTTTCTCTGTATTCAACAATGTATATTCAACATTTTCCTTGTATTCAATAATACATATTCAATAGTTTCCCTGTATTTAACCATGTGTATTCAACATTTTTCCTGTATTCAATAATGTCTATTCAATAGTTTCCCTCTATTCAACTATGTGTATTCAACATTTTCCCTGTATTCAACAATGTCTATTCAATGAGTAATCAAAAAATTATACAAGTGTCACGACCCAAACCCATCTCTAAAGGTTTAGCATCGTAACTGGCCAGTAATCCTTGGATTACCAAAGGCCTTCCTGTACAATAAAAATAATCGGGGCTTGCGGAAGCAATGTACAAAAATACACCAATAGTCCAATGAGCTGTGCATCTATATGAACAGACATTAATCATGCAAAAACATTAATTTACCCACATTCAATACATAACTTGTAACTTAACATTTTATACATAGCATATGCACATAACGAAAGTTTACTTCACAATCAAAAGCTTGACAACGGCCTTCCAGGCCTAGCCCCAACTCAGAGGCACACAAAACAACTCGGTAGGCTTCAAAACGGTGACTCAGCTATAGACCCCTTCTAGGCTTGCCCTCCAAAATGCTCACCTATATATATATATATATATAAATAGTGAGTTAAAACTCAGTGAATAACATTAAAGTAAAGGGGT